TGAGTAGCTGTGCTTTATTTTCCCTCACATGCCATATAAATGTACAAAAGCAATCACTAGGTGTAATCAGGGTATTCGGAATGGGTAGATGTCCTTTATTTTTCCCTCACATGCCATATAAAAGTACGAAAGCAATCACCAGGTGTAATCAAGGTGTTCCGAATGAGTAGCTGTCATATATTTTCCCTCACATGCTGTATAAAAGTACAAAATGCCTTATAAAAGTACCAAAGCAATCACCAGGTGTAATCAAAGTATTCCAAATGAGTAGCTGTGCTTTATTTTCCCTCACATGCCGTATAAAAGTACAAAACCAATCACTGGGTGTAATCAGGGTATTCGGAATGAGTAGATGTCCTTTATTTTTCCCTCACATGCCATATAAAAGTACGAAAGCAATCACCAGGTGTAATCAAGGTGTTCCGAAAGCCAATAAATCATACCTCATAATGCGTCGTTGCTGGGTAACATGTACCGAATAGAGTGAGACAGTGAGACAGTATAGACATTTATATTCACCCCCTTTTTTATGTGGTACAATTCTATGTTTGGTTTTTAGTCTAAGCTGACTTTGTTGTTTTTCTGCAGGTGATAGGTCAGATTATGATTCAGCCATCAGTGATGTCGGAGTTTTGTAGGAGTAGTTCAACACACTCCCTTGCACCCTCGCCGTCAACCGAGCCTCTCCTCACCTACTACTGGTCCAGTCCTACCACCACCACTGATACAGCTGAGACCGAGGCGCTTTCTCTGGCCTGCAACGGCGGGAACAACTTCACATTTCCTTGCCCGTTTTCCGCAGACATTGCGGACGGTTCCGCGAGTCCCACTGCGCAACAAGTGGCGGCGCAACAGTGGTGGTCGACGTCCCAGCGCCAGCATCCTCAGCTACCTGTGCTGCCAGCAGTGGGAGCGGCAGTTCCGTGGTGCCAGTCTCAGTCCACGCTGCAGCAGTGGGGGGGGCGTCCCCTTGGTCAGCCCCGCCGGTGCCCGTTGCTGACAAAACCCTTTCCTTCATGTACCCTCCTGGAACTTCTGCTACCTACCACGTCGTCCGCCCGCTCTCCCCGATCTCTCCTTCGTGCCTCCCTCCTCCCCTCTCTGCTCCTCTGAACTGTGTCTCTCATGAACCTTCCGCAGCATCGACTCAGCTGCATTACCTGGACAGCGTCCCTTCCCAGAATACGTAAGGACAGAGGCGGACGTGAAGCATGAGCTAGTTTCGCCACTACTAAAGAGGGTGGCCACAGTATATCCTCGCTAGCGTCCCCCAATGATGAGTTGGATTGTGGGCAAGTATTTTCGTCGGCCCTAACTTTAAAGAGCAACACGGAGAGGAGGACACACACTCCTGGTGCGAAATCACGTGTGGACTATTGTTTAGTCGGCCATGTATATAGGGCTTGTGTGGAGGAAAATTTACACGAGCAAGCAATGTCAGTTTGAAGATGTAACCATCATCCGTTTTACTACTGCATCACATACACTAGGTCATCCCTGTCTTGTCTTGTTGCTAGGCCTTGGCACATTATGCTCATATTTTGGCCTATTTTTCTATTCTTTAATGCTCCTTTAATATGCCTATATTTCTTTTTTCTTATTTTTCTTTCGATTGTGCCTATTTTTCTCAAAAAAGTGACTGATCAAAAAAGACACTGATTACAAAACCTTTTCTGTAACATGACAGAGAGTAGTAAATAGTCCTCCGAGGAAGATTCCTGCTGTGAATTGAAAGCAGTCTCGACCTCTGCCTCAGCCATTTCCGTCACAAACGCATGGTGAATTTCCGGAATCATTGGCCTATTATTCCAGCACAATTCTCAATGCTCATATACCCCTATTTTCCTCAAAATTATGCCAGCATAATCTGCCACGGCCTACTTGTTGCTTTTCATGGCATCCTCGAAGAATTTTTACCCTCGGCGCGCATGCGCAGCGAGGGTACAGTAGTTGGGTATGTCTGTGTGTGTGTGTCTGTTACTCTCAATCTCACTTCACGAGTGTCTGTTCGTCTCACAAAGGATACGACCTACTTAACGGGCAATGAAGGTCAGAAAATATGTGGGATTTTCTCTGAAACTGCTCCGTTGCAGAGCTAGAGCGTGAAAAAGCCAATATGCAAATACACAACGGACGATGCGGCTAACTACGGCATAATCGCTCCGCGTGCTCTGAGGCACCAGAAGAGCGTGTATCGCCTCTTGCATCCCATCTAGTAGTGTAGTTAGCCAGCGTCAGACTCTGCGCTAGCTGGCAAGAGACCACGAGTAACAGCTAAACTAAACCCAGCCCATCAATTAGTGGTACTGCGCATGCGTTTACTTACGCGTGCGCGTCACAATACGCCGAGGGTTTGCACTTCAGTGCTTTTCATTACCCTCGGCGCGCATGCGCAGCGAGGGTACTGTAGTTGGGTTTGTCTGTCTGTTACTCTCAATCTCACTTCTCGAATGTCTGTTCGTCTCACAAACGATACGACCTACTTAACGGGCAATGAAGGTCAGAAAATAAAGGCGGTTTTCTCTGAAAATGCTTCGTTGCAAAGCTAGAGCGCTTCCGCCATTGTACGGCTAATGCTAGTCGGCCATTTTTATCGCTGCGGAAAAGGCGCATGCGCTTATATTTGGGTCTGTCTGTCTGTCTGTTTGTCTGTTTGTCTGTTACTCTATATCTCACTCCTCGAACGTCTGTTCGTCCCAGAAACGATACCATCTACCCAACGGGCGACGAAGGTCAGAAAACAAAGGCGGTTTTCTCTGAAAATGCTCCGTTGCAAAGCTAGAGCGCTTCCGGCATTCTGCGGCTAATGCGTAGTCGGACATTTTTATCGCTGCGGAAAATGCGCCCCACTACTTCTATCTAGCTACCAACGTTATGCTTAACTGCCTGCGCCGAGGGTTTGCACTTTAGTGCTTTTCATTTGGTCTGTCTGTCTGTTTGTCTGTCTGTTAGTCTACATCTCACTCCTCGAACGTCTGTTCGTCCCAGAAAAGATACCATCTACCCAACGGGCGACGAAGGTCAGAAAATAAAGGCGGTTTTCTCTGAAAATGCTCCGTTGCAAATACGCAACGGACGGGATGGCTTACAGCGGTCGTGCTCTGCGTATATACTTCGGATGCACCAGAAGATGCAACGCAGGGCGTGTATCGCCTCTCGCATGCTATCTAGTAGTGTAGTTAGCCCACGTCAGACTCTGCGCGAGCTGGCAAGAGACCACGAGTAACCCAGCCCATCAATTAGTGGTACGGCGCATGCGTTTACTTACGCGTGCGCTTCACAGTGCGCCGACATTTCAGTGCTTTTGTAGTAGTTATGTCATGTCCGTGAGGTATATATAATTATACGTGCGAGTCCCGAGGGCCGAGTGATTTCCGAACGGACATGACATCGGTAATTTATGTCGGCGTTGTACGGATAATGGCGCAAAAATTCTTGTTTGTCTCGACCTAAACCAGTTTTCCGACCGGTTTTTTTCTTGCTGGCAGGTCGTGACCCGGAGAGCGTCTCTGAGCTGACTTCGCGTTCATCTGTGCTCGCGCTAGTCCCTTCGCCGTCGCTGGCCTTCTCCTGTTTTCCCTCACTCGAGCGCTCTTCGCGCCATCCCTTGCGTCTCACAGGAAGTTGATATATCCCTCGCTGCGCCCTGATATAGTGCGTGGCGGCGCTTTTGATCCACCCACGCATGACGACATAATTACTTGTATACACATTCTGAAAACATCTTTTTGACAACAGTAATAACAAATAACATCTCTATCTGAAGGAGGACACTCGTTCAGCCCGCCACCTCCTAACGGAACGGGAGGATATGTTTTGACGTTATTGTCGCTCTCCCAGCGCCAGATGGCGCCATTCTGTAGTACCGCCCAGCTGTTTGCTGGCCCAGCACTGCGCCCCAATTATAGTTTAGTAGCAAGGATTCAAATTTATCGGCAACATGGCCTGCTACCTGGTGCCACATCCGTTCCCTTCTGACACCGTCATAGGCGATCACTTGGTTGGAGACTTGCATTCCGGCTGCCCTTCCTACCTCCTCGACCCAGGCCCTGAACGCTACGCCAGAGTTGGCTGCAGTGGCGGCTGCATTGCCAGGCACGTTCGGACCCGGTCGAGGGAAATTGGGGCAGCCGGGCCCTGGCACTATGCCAGGCAATTGCAGAATGTTATGCAGTACCTGGTCCTCCAGATAATCGATAATTATTGCGGGGTCGTCCTCGTCGTCTACGTCGTCTACGTCGTCTACGAACGTGGGGGTGGGAGACGGGGTGTCCACCTTAGCCCTCTTGGCGCTGCTCTCCATACGGGGTCCAGCTAAAGACATAGAGACCCAAGCGTTGTCAGCTGCAGCAGTGCCCGACCGATCGTAGCGGAGACGGGGAGAGCTGGTCGCTGGAGACGGAGAGAGCTGGTCGCTGGAGACGGAGAGAGCTGGTCGCTGGCGACGGAGAGAGCTGGTCGCTGGAGACGGAGAGAGCTGGTCGCTGGCGGCGGAGAGAGCTGGTTGCTTGGAATCGCACATAATGAGCTACCGCGTGCACTGCGTTCTACGGAAGCCCATTGGGGCCATTCCATACTTCCGTTCTACGCGAACTTCCATCCTTCCATCTTTCCATCATTCTATACTTCCGTTCTACGCGAACTTCCATCCTTCCATCTTTCCATCCTTCTATCCTTCTATCCTTCTATCCTTCTATCCTTCCATACTGCGGGACTTCAGTGATTTGTTTTCATTTGCGCATGCGCAGTATTGTGTATGTCAATTTTCCATGTTGAGTACTCGAGTGCGCGGTCATGCATCGTTCAGCGTTTGCAGGCGATAATAATTCTGCGGAGTCTTTGTCCTCTAGCTCTGCAACCGGACCCACTGACCGCGTATTTGCGGGCTCCTCGTCCTCGTCCTCCAGCTCTGCAGCTGGAGCCACGAACCAAGGTTAGAGTATCATAAAAATCCATGCTGTGCAGTAGTATATACAATATATTTTCCAGGGTCCGTCCTTTCTTCATTTATATATTATTATGTCCGTAGGCACTACAACGATCCCCAACCAAGGCAGTTGTGTTTCTCCTGCTAGCCACTGAACATAGTCATTGTCAAGTGTCCCATCAAGGGTTCATCATTAAATCATAACGGTTATAATAATTGTTAGTCAAAATATCAATAATCGTCAAGTAGAGAAACAAGCTCCGCATATAGCAACATAGCATCTCTTATAGAGTCAGGAAAGAGTAGACCACGGTGTACCATCAGTTCATTCACTGCCTGCAGAAACTCAAGGGATGCAGGAGGGTCCGGTTCCTCTGCATAATCTCTGCACACATGCACATCATGGTGGCTTACAGCACAAACATAATTGCTCGTTCCTGCACATACATTGTATATAGGATTAGACACATGTAAAGAGTTGGTATCAAACCTTGTACTTCAGGAAGAAAGTATAGTTCATTTGGTACTCCTGCAGGTACCAAACAGTGTTTGCTCGAACGTGTTGTATGAGTATTCAATTCATGTGCCACTTTATCTAGCTCTTGTTGGATCAAGTGCATGAAACAGAACCGAAGACAATCTCTGATGGAAAATCAGGGAAGAACTACAAAACACTTCAATCTTTGCAAAATGACCGATGTATACAGTTCATCTCGTCGTAGAGACCACAATCCTGCATTCCCTATCAATAACTTGAAATGAAAACCTAAAATAACCCTTGCAAAAACTCACTTGGAATAACTCTATCCACCATTGAGTGAAACTTCTCTTCAATGAGACCACCATGCTTCAATGCGCTGCATGAATAACAGATAAGACAAATCATACTGTTCTCTCCAAGCATACCTGGTTCGACACCGATCTTCCGTAGCGAAAACTGAGCTCTCCAGCATAGC